GAGTGGCCAAGTACTCCCAAACCCACCCCGTAGCTTCCGCGAAGCTTTGGCAGAGCTTCCGCGAAACCCCTGTCACATCGTCAAAAAGTCCAGCATATAAAACCACACAATAAATGAATAGTTTGGAATCCCATTTTAGTCCTGCCCAGCATTCGTTAAGGCTTTGCAAGTACAAGGGGAGCTTCATGTTGGGGTTTAGGATTCAGGGACAGGCACATCACGGCTAAGTTTCTTTTCTCTCTCTCTCTCTCACAAGATTCTTCTCAAGTTCCTATACCTTAAAAATTCATCTCCATAAGCGTCTGCTCGGGATTCGGGAACTGAAAAAAGAGCTTCCGCAAGAGCTTCCGCAAGCCAAGGGCTTCCGCGAAAGCTTCCGCGAGCTTCCGCGTGCACAGTGGGAACCACTTTTCGGAAGTTGTTGGCGGCCGGTTTCCGAGATTTTTTTTTCCGTATTTAATTAACTTTCCTCTACCGCCTATTCTTTTATCCGCTCATCTTCTTATCCCTCTATACCCCTATATAACCCCTATATTCCCTCTATACCCCATTAAACCCTATATAACCCCAGTACAGTAGTTTCCTTTTTCTTTTCCATTACCCCTATATAACCGCTAAATTCCCCCCCCCTCCCACTTTACAGGGTTTCTGAACTGAGGAGCACCTTCCCGTGTCTCTGTGGGAAAGACCGTCTCCAGATCTACACGCATCCTCAGAAGGAATTGATGTTAAGGGTTTTCAGACTTAGGGTCTAGGTCTAGGAATTAAGTTTTAGGGTTTCAGGTTTCTGGTCAGCATAGGATTCTGAGGGTGTAGTGGTTCGGGGCTTAGACTGCTACGGCTTTAGGGCCGGGTTTTCCGAGCATTGGGGTCCCCCTGCCCGTATGGCACCGTAAGGGAATGCTTCAAATCCAACATCATGATTTGAAAGCCCCCAAACCCCCTAAACCTTGAGGAGAAACATGTAAGCCCCTACGCTCCCTAGCACCCTGCAGCACGGGCCCTGCAGACAGTTGCAGTTGTCTTGCTGATGGTTTTTCAAAATGAACCGGGGGACTGGATCACTCTAGCAATCCATGAAGCATCCCCAATGGTGATCTGAGTGTTCTCCATGCCAGTAGAGTCTTGGGTCTTCAGGGCTTTGCGATGAGAGTCTCATTGTACTTGCTGCTTGGCTCAACCCTTCCGTCCACATCCCTTTGATGTCCATTCGTCTGTCCCTTGGCAATCATTCCATGTCAAGCCCGGACACCGCAAAGCTCAGGCCCTAAACAATGAACCAAGAATTACAATAGGAACGGCTTCTCGGAACTGAGGCTTCAGCCGCTCGCTGAGTTCCAGATCGTGCGCTTCTGCTTCCTGACTGGGAAATGCATCTGTCTATCTATCTATCTATCTATCTATGTGCGCATATACACAGGCATATGTACGTGTATGCAGAGCGATGCTGCGTCAGGGATTATAGTCAGATAGGCGTATGCATATACATACAACCATATATATACATGTACGTAAAGATGCATCATGTATATTACGAATCTCTTGACTTAAGCCATAGATGGCAGCAGAGTCTCTCAAGAATAGTCAAGGCCACTTCCACTGAGTTCCCAGCAGGGACAACACAACTTCTTTCCAGCTGGACAGGAAACCCTCATCACTATGGGCTAGTAGACCTTAAGATTAATCTACCCTTACTAAGGTCCTAATAGGGAATTTTAAGGTCTAATAGCCCATAGTGGCAGGGTTCCCAAGCCCAAAGGCATCGCAGTATCAAGAAAACCGATGTTTTCACATTGGCTCGCCCGAAATCCTCAACACTCTGGTCCCTACACTGCAGCTAAAATCCTAGTCCCTCAGCCCTATACAAACCCCCGTTCCCTAGCCCTACTGGTTCTTAGTAGGGAATACGGGAATATAATCCAAACATGTACTATATGGTAGTTTCCCAAAATGGGGGGACCCCAATATAGACCCCCCAAATAGTATAGTCCTTATTATAGGGACCCCCAAAAAGGTACCCCTAATTTTGGGAAATCCCCCATATTCCCTGAATCCTCACGAAGAACTAGTACGAGTTCTAGCTGGCCAGTCGACCTGCAGCGATATAGGCTCCGAGACGCCATACCTCCAGGAAGGGAAAGGGTTTAGGGTTTAGGGTTGCAGTACTTTTGTTAGGTAATATTAGGGTGATATCGGGGGGTTATATGGATAATGGAAAATAAAATGGAAACTACTATAGTGTATTTTGGGTATATACTGGGGTTAAATTGGGATACTGGAAAAGGAAATGGAAACTACTATTTGAGGTTTAGGGCTTAGAAATCTCAATGTGGTTGCCTACATCTACATGAATCTAAACACAGCTGCCGACTTACTTAGTAGTACATCGACAATCTTGGCTGCGTTAATAACAGACACATATGGGCAATATCTAATTCATGAAACTTGAGCCATGGAATTATGGAACTGTACGGGAAGCATCTGAAAATTGTGGGTATCTCTACACTAGCGTCCCCCCCCACATTGGGAGATAAACCTGGAGACATACTTGTATGTCTTCAAGAGTGGCCTCGTCGGGCCGTTCTTGACGCTGAGAGGGCTTGCACCGTTCCTTGCAAAGTGCCAATGAGCATCCGCGCGTACTCCAAGAAATGCTTGCACTCAAGTGACTGGTGCTTCAGGGGAGTGGGGAGTGGGCCCGCCTTATGTAAGCCACTCTTCAAACAACAGAAGTATAGGGCCTTGTGTTCCAGCCTCAATATTAATTTGGGGTCGGGTAGTCTCTACACTTCCTGACACTCATATTGCAGTACCTGAATCCCAAATCCCTAGCTGACCCCTAAACGTCCCAACTCCCTAAAGCCCCAGTACGCCGAGGCCCCAGACTGCGCCATCTTCTACATGGGGTTTTGTGTAATGCCTACAAACTGATGGGCTGGGTTTGGGGTTTGGGGCTTAAGGTATCTTGCATATTGTGCAGATACCCAATAAATATTTCAGCGCTTATCCAGGTTTTATTGTCGTGTTGGGTTCAGGTAGGCATGAAACTGGAAAATGCTATTCAACAAAAGTTGAGTCGAATGCGGATCTATAAGGGTAGTAAGAGTCAGGGTTAAGGAACACGTAGAACGTTTATCTATGGTCTTCTCAATTGGGCACCCCGAAAACGCACATATGTACAGACACATGCCGCAGACAAAGTGATCCGATGGAAAACCCAACGTGGTCGACATGTGGCTGACTGGCTGACATGATCAAACAAGCTCTAACGCTGTTTCGAGCCAACACAATCACGAACGGGAAGCATGAGGCCAAGTGCCGCCTCCTGCCTGCTGCGCACTGAAGAACATCTGCAAAGCAGCTGGAAGCACTTTTGCTCAGGTGGCATGTGGAAGTTCTCCGGGTGGGACGCGTGCCCTCTCAGAAGTAGTTCTCGACGAAGGGCAGAGGCGCCAGGACCTCAACGTCTTCGGGGGAGGCGGTGACCGTCTTCATCTCCTTGGGGCCTTCCGGGACACGCTTGCACACCAGCTTCTTGCCTTCCTGCTTCGCCTGGAACTTCTTCTTGTCGTTCTCCTTGACACGGTGCAGGAAAGCTTCGTTACAGCGAGACTTGCGCACGTGCTCGATGCGCACGTGGATGCGCTTGCGCAGCTGTCGGTTGCCGACGATCTTTGTGATCTCGACGCCCAAGGCGTTCAGATTCACGTTGAACACAACCCCCGTCCTGCCGTGGTAGAGAGAGTAAGGCAGACCTTTCTGGATGGATGGGTCGGCCACGATGTCTACATAGTCTCCGCGCTTGAAGTTCACAAGGTAGCGGGCAATGCCAGGTCTGCCCTTGGTCCTGTACTTCTTAGAGTACTTGTCGCGCGTCCCATGGCGATAGCCCTTTGAGATAACCCGAGTCTTTCCCATGATGGGCAGTGCGCTAGCAACCAGCCTTGAGCAAAGTGTGCCTGCATGTGGAACTAACTTTTGCAGGGCAATCACAGGCAGATCTTGCTCGGATGATTGCGTGTCCATGCTGACATCATGTCGAGGTCATTGCAACAATCATGACATTGGACTGAAGGTTATCGGGGCTTTCCAAGAATCAAGGGCCCATGGGCAGAAATAGGATAGGTTGGGTATATTCTTCTGAAGAGGCCCAGGTGTTTGGAAAATGCCGACTGCGTCATGATGACCCACAGGCGCGCAAGTTTGAATCCTGTTTGCCACAGAAGCTATCAGCGTAGACCAAAGCAATTGTATATGTGGTGGTTTCCCCAGGACCCCAATGTAGACCCAATAATATGAGAATCCTTATTATAGGGATCCACAAAATGGTACCCTTAACTTGGGGAAACCGCCAAATAAATCTTCATCACAAGCTGGAGAAATCTACATTCTCAAATTTAGCCAGCTCGGAAATCCACTCAGACCACTTGGCATACTTCCAGTCACCTTCAGCGTGGCAGGGAGATTGGATTATATAGTAGTCTCCACCTCCTTTACCATTATCCCTAGAGAGCCCCCATATGCTATAAAGTAGTTTCCATTTTCTTTTCCATTGTTCCTTTATAACCCCAATCCTAAACCCAAAACCCTACGTTGCCATTATAGTACTTTCCGTTTTCTTTTGCATTATCCCTGTATAACCCTAATCTATCATATAGATTTGGGGGCCATCTTGCAGTGGTTAGAAGCCTGCTAAAGATGTCCCCAAATGTAGGATCCTAGTGTGTCGTGTACTTGCTTTTGAGAAAACCACACATGACAGGAGCTTCTACTACGTACTCACTGGTGCTCATGGAGTCGCTAGGGAACACAGTTAAAACCCCGTAAACCCAAAACCCTAAACAGCTGGGAAAGGACTACTTGCTGGCCGAAGCCACCGAGCTTTGCGATGGTCGTGATGCCCACCTGAACAACATGTACTGCCATTGAAAACGTGCTGTATTATATAGGGGTTATATAAGGGTTATATTGGGTTGTATAGGGATAATGGAAAAGAAAATGGAAACTGCTATAGTAACAAAGGTCTAATTTGGGGTGCTGTGGGGTGCTGCGGCATGGGAGGTCACTGCGTGATCTGCGTGCTTTAGGCAAGAGTGCATGGTGAACAACGCCCAGGGAAAGAAGGCGTACATGATACAGCAGTAGACCAATAGATGTGGGGAAACCCTAATAGGTGTGGGGAACCTTTGAGAGCCTTCCTCGTCTTAAAGCAGCTGGTCGTACTCTTCCTAGGCGATCTCTATATGTCCCTAAGAATGTCTACACTCGCTTCCGGACACTATATAATTAACATCGTGATTCCCTACCTCCTCCCCTAAAATACTACCCCCCCCTAGGTTCCCCCTTCATTAACCCTAATTATCCCTAAATAACCTTAATGAAGGGGGGAACCTAGAGGGGGTGGTACAGAGGGGGGTAGGGGAACCCATGACTAAACTTCCAGAAAGTCACCTGGAATCAAACACATAATCCCCTAAACCCCAGTCAACTCCTCAAAATCAAGTAAATGCACCCCAGAAAACCTAGAGCTATCATCCGAAATCCACTTAAATCCTATTGCTAAAGCCACAAAAAACCTCTCAACACCCATTTGAACTGAGGGTTATTTGGGTCCTATATATAATCCCCGCTAAGGAGTTTAGACCCTAAACCCTAAATCCTAAAACGGAAACCCTATATGATCTCCTATACAATCCCCCGTTTAAGAAGTTTCGACTATAGTACATGTCGGGAGGGCCTTTGCAAGCTCCGCGTCAGCCCAGCCAGCCAAGCCTTGCTGGGCCCTACCTACACTCCAATCCGTTTAGGGTTTAGGGTTTAAAGGTGTATAGGGTATAGGGTAGTATAGGATATAGGAAGAAGGGTCTATAGGATGTAGGGTATAGGGCTTCGGGTTTCATAAGTTCCCATCTCCAAGCCCAACTTCTACATCCTAAAACTTGAGCCCTAAATCTTCGAGATCTCGTCCCCTACATCCTGAACACTCAAAGCCAAACCCATTGAATCCTACACCTAAACCTGTATATCCTCAAGTCCTACAGCTTGAGTCCTATAGCTCTTGGAGATCTAGTCCCTACATCCTGAACCTTGTAGGGCCGAGGGTGGGAGCTCGAGGATCTCTTCCAGCGACTTGCTTTCCTTGCAGCAGTATATCAGTAACAGTAACAATGATGGTATTAATACTAATAGTAATCAGAATGTTAGTAGTAATGGTGAGATTAAAAGAAAGTAAAGATAGAATGTGGGGGTATATGGGGATCTCATTATAATATACCCAAAACCATCTTCTATCTACTTAAGGGGGACTATACTTGCAGCAGCCGAAGCAGTACAAGCAGTCTTGGTGGTGGCCATGATAGGCCGTAGCCTTCACAGCAAACTCGACCAGCGAACAGAACCGCTGCATTCAAGGAAGCTGATCCACGACACGGCACAAACATTGCGCTTAAAACGCTGTCTGGCATTGACAATAAATCCATAACCCTGACCCCAAACCCAAAGCGTTGCGTTCCAAGCATCATGCTTCTTGTCCATCGCCTGGTCTAATGGCAACGGGGGAGCTCTGTGAAACTCCCTTTTCAGGCACTACGAATACGAGGGTTGGGGTCTAGGACTTCGGGGCTCAATGGTGGCTGTTCAAGGATTTTGGAGTCTGCTAGATTCTGCTAGCTGCGCAATGTTTCTACTTGCTACTACACCTTCTACTCCACCCACACCCTACAACTCCAATAGTTTCCATTTTCTTTTCCATTATCCCAATAAACCCTAAACATCAGGGTAAACATCAGGGTGTTTCCCAAAATAAGGGGACCCCAATGTAGACCCCAATATACTATAATCCTTCTTATTGGGACCCCCGAAAAGGTACCCCTAATTCTAGGAATAGAACCCTAAACATCAGGGTTAGGCTTCACCACCAAAACATCAACAGCTGGCCTTGTTGATGTTCAAGGCGGCTCCCTCCTCCCTCTTATCCTTCCTGGGACCATGTTCCCATTGGGGTAGTATGAGGGTAATTATTGGGAGAATGGAAAAGAAAATGGAAACTACTATAGGGTTTAGGGTTTAGGGTTTAGGGTTGGGTAGTATTAGGGTATACCAATATTGGGATATAGTATATTAAGGGTTATATTAGGATAATGGAAAAGAAAATGGAAACTATGGGATTATAGGGTATGTATTGGTGTATATCTTAGGGTAGTCTAATATTGGGATAATGGAAAAGAAAATGGAAACTACTACAATGGGTTATATAAGGATTGCAGGGTTATATGGGGGTTCTATTGGGGTTATATTGGGGTTATATTAGGGTAATCTTGGGGTTATACTGGGATGATGGAAAATGAAATGGACACTACTACAATGGGTTATATAGGGTTTAGGGTTTGTTGCTTGCATGCCGGGTTTAGGGTCTATGGATGGATTGAGGTCATGTATAATATAAGGTGAGCATGATCTTCCGCAAATTTGCCTGCGCAGTCCTAAATAAATCCTAGATCCTAAAACGCAAATCCAAACGACCCTAGTGACCCTAAGCCCAAAATCCTATACCCGACATCCTCAACCGCCAAGAGGCCTAAATCCTTTACAAACCTCCAAACCCCCAAAGTCCCACAAAAGCAACGGCCCAGCAACTGCTCCAGCGTGGATAGGCCGAGAATGGATTTTGCTATCCGATAAAACTTCCAGCTTCCCAAATCACCTCGGCTGCAATGGTGAGGGTTTAGGGTTGAGGATTAGGGTTTAGGGTCCGGGGTTTGAGTTTTAGTAGTTAGTGCTGTAGAGTTTAGAGTTTAGGGTTCAGGGACTAAGGTCTTTTAGCAGTTAGTACTGTGGGTTTTTGTTCTTTTACACGCTCCTTTTCCGTAAGGCGGCACAGATCCATACAGATCGAGATAAAACAAGGCACCCCTCGAAGGACTGTTCACACGGTGCTGCCAAACCCGCTGAATACATATCAGCCGCTATCAGCCGCATACACTCAGCCGACTCCCTGTAGCGTTTAGGGTTTAGGGCTTGGGGCTAGGGTCCGGCAGAATATACAGGGTTTAGGGATGTTTCGAAAGACTAGGCGCTTAGCTGAGAGCTAATCCCACAGGAGTCATGGTGGCTAAACAGTTTCCCTTAAGGCAACTGGGCTAGGGATGTTTAGGGATATTGAGGAGTCTAAAAGGATTTCCACTCAGCACGCCTCTCGATTTGTGGATTCTAGAGGGTCTAGGGCTTAGATTTCGCAGGGCTTAAAGTTTTTGCCACTTGCATGGCCATACCACATTGCGCTTCAAAGCAAGTGCGGGGTCACTGCAAAGCAACCACGAGACATGGCAAGGTATAGATTCGAGCAGAATCAGCTCTCCATCAGTAGAACTTGCACCAAATGTCTCCAGTTCATGCGGAAGTCCAGCAGGTACAGCACGCACACTGTGCACTTGTCAGACACGCAGTCACCCGTCTCTGGAGCTGTTATCCCCACCTTCTCGTATAGTTGTTTCCATTCTCTTTTCCATTATCTTTAGAGAACACCAATATACTAAATAGCAGTTTCAATTTTCTTTTCCATTTGTGCTGAACAGCTGCCAGCTGGAGCAGAGGGCAGGTTTTAGCACTGCCGCTCGTGGTCAATTTAGGCACACGCGTTTAGGGTAGGGTTGAGGATTAAGGCTTAGGGCTTATCATCTGCGCGGAATCAGTGCTTCCCTATCCTTCTCAATTTGTTGGGAAGAATTTTGGGCATAGGGCAGGAGACTAGGGACTACAGAAGGGTTTGCAGGAGGTACTGTCTAGGATGTTTTCCGAAAGGGTTCATGCATACGAGGCTGTAAGCAGGCTTTCGAGGGCTACTGTTAGATAATACTACATCGACGTCGTAATAATAGTCGTAGTAATCATAGTAGTACTCGTAGTATTCATACTAGTACTCGGAATACTAATGGATAACAATATAAGAACTGTAATAATGATTTTCAAGGGCAAGGTTGCCAGTCCATCCATCCCTCCGAGACCCAAGTTGCCTGTGTTAGTCCTTTGCTGCGAACGGCAAGACCTTTTTCTAACATCCCAGAATGTAATTATGAACTGGGTCCAGCACCCAGAATGGGTACCACAAGGTGACTACTGTAGGTACATTAAGGCCGTATCAACTCCATATTTAGGGGCTAACCTTAAACCCTCAACCTATTACTGTAGGGGGGATGGACCTAAATTATGAACACGACCCACCACAGAAGATCCAAGCCGCCGATGGAATGGACTTTGAATTTCCTTAGCTTCGAGCACGTAGTAATAATGATAGTAGTGGTCATAGTCATAGTAGTACTAATCATAACAGATAGTACTAATAGTAAAAACAGTAATAATAGTAATGAGCTCAACTTTGAGAATGGCTGCGAATGCGGCTACATACAAGAACACCATTGGTACACACCTGCTGCGTGGCGCGCAATGGACAGCAGGACGTCACCAAATCTCAAAATGGATATGCTTCCTACATGTCACAACCCTACGCACACGAGATTTAAAAAAGCAGCCAAATCCTTAACCCGAACGTATAGTACACCTACTTAGAACCCAAATAACATCGGAAGCCTTTGGCCTCAATCCCTAAAGCTTTTCAACCCGCAACCCTTGGATGTAGACCCTGCAACTGCAATCCACATGTCCCACTTGAATCCCTAAGCCCTAAACCCTTAAACCCTTAACCAAACCCTAAACCCTTAAGGCCTGAAAACCTACACCCGTAAACCCTTGAACCCTAAACCCTTTCAGCCTAAACCCTTAAACCGAGCATCTTCAGAACTTCTCGGCCCTTAGCAGCCACACCCTGCAGTGCTGACGTTGGCGCTGCCACGATGTCCGTCAAGCTGCTGCCTTCGTACTCCTGGCCATCCCGGGGTTTAGGATTTGAGGTTTGGGGTTTAGGATTTAGACACGCGCATCGCGCAGCAGTGCAGGCAAGGCAACAGGTGACTTTCTTGCATGCTGAGGTTGGTGCAATACTCAGAAGCTAGACAGCCAGGTTCATCCCTGTTTGCAGGCTAATGCTCACCTTTACAGGTCTTACGCCTGCAGCGGCGCTTTTTAGGGTGTTAGGGGTTGGGGAAAGGGGGGTTGCGAACAGTGCAATCACCCAGCAGTGCCAGCCATGTGCCCTGATGCGACGCGTCTCCCCTTTTGGTCATTGCAGGGCCATCATCATGATCACCATCATCGCCGGAATTTTGAGCATGGCCCGCGCAACTGCATGTTTAGCAGGTGTTGAATTGGAGGCCAAATGGCGCACTACAGGAAATCACTCGGTCATGCGAAGCAAGTGCGAAATAGCAGATCTGCCCTCATCAGGCTCGCTGCTCCGATTTAGTTTTGAAGGTTGCTTGACCGTTAAACTGTCCACTCTGATGGAGTGCTGCACTTCTACAGCTGAGCTCACTGTACTCTTTTTTGCTCTTTTGCTAGATCGGCCCATACACCGTAACACGCAACAAGTCCTGCTCGAGTTTCTCGAGAGTCCTTATGACGTAGGCAGCATGCTGAGTGTCCACAGGCCCCTCTGTAAGTCGGGCAATGCAGTCCTCCACGTCCCTTTCTGGATGGTCACTCAATTGGAGTTCAAGGGTGCGTTCAATGTCTTTCACGCGAGCAAGATGTTGGGTAACACGCTCGCATGTGGAGGTATTCAGCAAGGCAGCCAAACCATTGATCAGATAACATAAGAAATTCGCCAACCCTAGGGCAGGATGCATTAGTGCCAAGTAGACTCCGGAACACCACAGGGAGATTTGGGAATTAAACCTGCATACCACTGCCAAAACTTCATGTAGCTCAGCTTCACCCTGGAAGTGTCGAACGGCCTCTTTCACATCGTTGTGTCTTTTCTGTGCCTGCTTCTTGGCTGGGGCAAGTTCTGTCTTGGCGCTCTCCAACGAGTCAACTGCGAGCAGGATTTTCTCGTTGATCGGGCAAGATTTGGTTGCTCCAGTCTGCCCTATGATCTGGTCATTCTGAATGCTCATCGCCTCAACTATCAGGACTTTCGCTAGTTCGAGCTTGTCACGCGCAGGGTTGTTAGAAGTGGGCTTGCTGCCTTGGAGCATCTTGATGTTGTTGCTGGTGGTGAGGGGTAGGCGGTGGATCCGGCCACTGATTCTCTGTGTCTACAGACCGCTCCTCATCGCCACCCCCAGCATGTCCAGTAAAGGCGTACTGTCAGCAACACCCCCCAAGCTTGAGACAAACAGCTGCAGCTTGAGCCGTAGCCATTTGGGTTTTAGGATTTAAGGTTTTGGGAAGATTTAGAGTTTAGGGTTTAATTGTTTGAGCAGACTTCGGGTCTGTAAAGTTAGGGTTTATGTCAAGCTGCAGCCTTCGTACTTTTAGGGATTTTGCACGCTCTTGTTCCTACATCCCAGTTAATCCCGAAACCTGCATGGCCAACGCAAAAGACTGCGAAAAAACAGAGCTCCCGTGTCTCAAAACGTTTCCGTATTGCCGTCCGTACTCTGATTCCACTGCAAACTGCACCACAATGGATATGTGGAAGGGATTATTTGGTAGTTTCCCAAAACAGGGGGACCCCAGTACACTATAATCCTTATCATGGAGATCCCACAAAGGGTACCCCTAATTTTGGTCAACCCCCCCGATATCTCGAACGATCCCTGACTGTTGTCTTTGACTTCTCAACGCTTTGTCCGTCGCTGCTTGTTGCTTTGCTAACTAGTTAATACCAAGTCCAACGCTACGTGGGGCCTCTAGAAATGTAGAACTCCCCTTTCCATAGACCTGAGGAAGCTGGTGACTACTCGAATCTTGTTTGGGATGTAAACTTAAAGTATAGTTGCCTCTTCATTATGGCCCATTGCCAAAACGTATACCCCGCAACTATCCCCCATCTCGGAACAAGAGCAGTGGCCCCTTCAAAGGGCTTTACAGTCTGGCCTTTAGATTGAAGGCCTTGAAGCCTTAAACCCTATATGGGTCCTGCCCTCACCCATTAACAGTCAAAATTGGGGTAATATTCAAGGCTGAATATTCTTATATTGCATATATATATATATGTATATTATCCACCTGTTAATGAGTGGGGGCAGTACCCAACAGAGTTGGCAAGACCTCATGCAACAAACATCCCTCAGGCACTGCTTCGCCTGCCTTGTCCACTGCCGAGTTGATGTTAAGCTTGTAGTTTGGCATCAATTTGGCCTCTGGAGCACCGCGCAACTGAGAACAGCGCCAAGAGTCAGCTACAGCAATCTGCGCCACAACACACGACGACCAACACCTCAGGAGGAGCTAGAGTCTATAAATTCCTCTCCCCTGTATAATTCCCTAGATAACCCCCCTTTATGAAGCTTGGATAATGGCTCATATCCTGTCCACCTATGCTTCTACGATCAGATGGCGAGCCTTCTTTTTGGGAGGCTCCGCAGCCTCTTCTTCCGCCGGCATGCTAGACTCAATCGCCCGGCGAACTTCCTGCAGTGCAGGGCTGGAGCCTTGCTGCTTGAGCCTTTTGGAGATTTGGGGTATAGTCTCAACTCCTTAAGACCATTATAAGGGTTAAGGGGGATACTATGAGCTTAGACTATAGCTCACTTGGGGCTCAAAGTGCGAAGTTACGGAGAGGCCAACCAATCAGAACCAACTTCATCTGACCCAACACTCTCCCAAGGCAGCATGATCACCCTAAACCGCAATAAACCCCTAAAGCCGAAATCCTGACTGCTGAACCTGCATATCTGCAACCCCAAATGGCTACCAATATCCAAGCATAATGATGGTTACTATCCCTTCACACCCCATATAAACCAGGCCTGCGGCCTTCGCTTCATTTCCCCATGTGATTTTCAATTGACTCTCCATTATTGGCTCGACTATCCCTAGATGCTAGGTTACTATTGCCATGGATCAACCCCTAAACCCTAAACCTCTTTACCGCATACCCCCCCCTTCCCGCAATACCCCCAGTAAGGCCTGACCCTTGGCAACTTCCGCTGGAGTTGCTCCGGATCTGGTCTGTGCCAAAGGGTCTGCACCTGAGAAATGCTCTTTTTTTTGGCGGTGGAAGGAATACCACAGCAAAGAGTCATTGGGGGGCAAGAAACTTCACATTAACAATGGTCTTTACATGGGTTCTGCAAAAAAAGGGGTTGAAGGTCCCAGTCATTGGGATATGGGGTGCGCAGGGGATGATGGTTCAAGTTGCTTATCTTTTAACACCCGCAAGGTCATGCATGACAAGTCAAAGGTGCAGCGTTAAGGGTTTTATACTTGAGCCTTTTTTCCCCTCAAAGCCCCTTGGGGTTGGGTTCTTTAGATTTTCCAACGAGTGGGCAGCGACACAGAGTTGCGGGTAAAGGCCTCCGAGCCTTCGGCGGTGTGCGGGGCGGTTATAGGGAGGGTGGCAGCGAGGACAAGGTGCAGTGCGGTGCGGGCGGGTGACAGGGAAGGTGACCGCGAGGATGGGGCGCGGCGATGCGGGCAGGGTGAGGGAGGGTGGCAGCGAAAGCGGGGTGCGGCGCAATGCGGGGCCGGTGAGTGGGCAGCGAGGGTGAGCACGAGTTTTGGTGACAGAAACCCACGGTCAAGGCAAGCTGTGATTGCCTTCACCACCATGGTTTTGGTGGTGAAGGCAACGGCCGCTAGCTTTCACCATGGCTCAGGCAACAACAACCATGGTGAAGGCAAGCGGCCGACGCCATAACCATGGTTGATGGTGATGAGGACGCGGTGCGGTCCAGGTGAGTGGTCGGGGAGTGTTCGCGAGGCTGGAGTGTGGCAAAGCTATGCAAGGGTGTGTATATATATAACCCCATATAAACCATATAGTAGTTTCCATTTTCTCTTCTATTATCCCAAGATAACCCAGTACAATAGTTTTCATTATCCCACTCTATTTCCTTGACCACTGCTCAAGACAGGGTACCCTCAGAAAATTACATGGAGATTACATGCGCATTGTGGGCTCCTTTCTGCGGATGAAAGGTAAGGGATGATTCCCAAACTCTGAAACCCTAAACCCTAAACCCTAACTCTGAGATCGGAACCTTGGTCCAGCAAGAACTTGGCAATCTCAGCATTTCCTTCGAAAGCAGCCTCTGGGGCGGAGTTAGGATGATTTGGGGGATTCCCAAAATTAGGGTACCATGTGGGGGGTCCCTATAAAATCAGGATTATGATATGTTGGGGTCTCTATTGGGGTCCCCCTAGTTAGGGAAACTACCATTTCTGGGTTGAAGGTTCCAAGTGATTCAGAGAATGCCAACAGCAGCAAAACTGATCGGGCCTTAGCCTAAATGGGGGTTTCCCAAAATTATGGGTACCTTTTTGGCGGTCCCCATAATAAGGACTATAGTGTTTTTGGGTCTATATTGGTGTTCCCCTAATTTTGGGAAACTACCAAATACCTGTAGGCATCGACCCAATGGCACTATGTTGACGACGCATGGTCTTCAAGGGTGTCATATGATGCTAGTCTAGCTTCTTGCCACGAACATTCCCCATAACCCCCTAAACAATCACCAAAAAGCTTTCCTTCGTTCTTTATCTATATCTCTATACATATATCATCAGAATCTTTTCCCCCTACCCCTAAACCCTAAACCCTAAAACCCCTAAACCCTAAACCCTAAAACCAGGGGAAGAACATCTGATTGCAAGGCCTGGTGCAAGGCCGTCCAACGCATCGAGGGTTGCGCGTTAATCAAGTCAGGAGTCTCCTGGTCGCCCACTCTACGTAAGCAATATACGTGTGAATATACCAATATATGCATACGTAGATATTGCATGGACTGTCTATTGTACGTGTATATATATATATATATGTAAATATGTTGGAGGTAGATATGTATGTGTATATGTATATATTTTTTCATTATATACACATAAATTCGTAGGTGTACACTCTGTATGCCCTCTTCTGTGCAGATCGTAGCATGTGCGTCCTGCAACATGGACTTTACTGCCGTCCAGTTGAAGCTTTTGGCATTATCCTCAACATGCAACTGACAGCCGGGGTTGCATGAAGAAAGCTCCAGGCGAATCCACTCCCCTTGGAGCGGCCAAGGTGCAAGGAAGTCATGCTCCAGCTCAGATCTAGCGTCTCCCATCTCATCTACAATGCCTCTTCCAGCTTTGGACCGAAATTCTTCGCCAAGCAGGATCTGAAGCCTAAAAGTGAAACACGGCCTCTCACCGCGATAGGGGAAGAATGTTTCAAGTGTCTGCGCGGCGCCCGCCTACCAAAAACGGGGCATGAGGTTATACCGTATGTGCCCAGTAGGGTTTAAGGTAGCCATGAGCCGAACCTGAGGGTTCCGCTCAAGCTTGCAGCTTCCTCGTGATCATTCCTGCACTGGGATACAGTAGTTCGTGCAAGTTTGTGCTTGGATGGGGCAAGCCAAACAGAAATTGAACCTTTGCTACGGCATGTGCGCGGCCCCCGACTTCAGCATCACGCTAGTCTCTTGGTAAACTAGTTAGGCTATAGTCTAAACTCCTAGTATCCCCCCTAATAACCACAAATAATAATCTCCTAAGCAATCCCCCATAGAAACCCCCATTAGGGAGTTCAGACCCTAAACCCTAAATAGTAGTTGCCATTTTCTTTTCCATTATCCCTATATCGTAATTTCCATTTCTTTTCCAATATCTCTAAGTTATGGCTTTATGGCCCCCTATAATAACAGACTGTCGGTATTCCACAGCACGGCTCCCCTTTGGGCTCGAGGAGCTCTTCGGGTCGGTCACAGCGCGACTGGCGCAGACGGAGCTGTGCCGGTGGAGGCAGGAGCCCCAGCCTTTGCTTGGAGATTTATTACCCCCAAGGGTTATATAGGGATAATGGAAAAGAAAATGGAAACTATAGGGATTATATAGGAGCTTTATAGGGATTATAGGGTTTAGGAGCCCCAGCCTTTGTTTAGAGATTTATTACCCTCCCAAATAGTAAAGGTTATATAGGGATATATAGGGTTATAAGGGGTTATATAGGGATAATGGAAAAGAAAATGGAAGCTACTATAGTTTAGAGCCCCAGCCTTTGTTTGGAGATTTATTACCCCCCAAATACTGGGATAATGGAAAAGAAAATGGACACTACCATAATGGGTTATATAAGGATTATAGGGTATATTTTGGGGGTTATACAATGGGGATAATGCCCCAATAATGGAGAATCAAATGGAAAAGAAAAATGGAAAATGAAATGGAAGCTGGGATTGTATAGGGGTTATCCAGCCTTTGTTTAGAGATTGAGCCCCAGACTTTGTTTGGAGATTGATCCCCCCAAATATTAAAGGGTTTAGGGCTTAGGGTTTAGGGGTTTAAGGGTTTAAGGGTTTAGGGTTTAGGGCTTAGGGTTTAGTGTTTAGGGGTTTTAGGGTTTAGGGTTTAGGTTTGGACCGTACTAGGGTGCCTCTTACGAGACGTACCAAAAGGGTTTGCTTCAGAAAGGCCAGGGATATAAAGCTTTGGGTTTTCGGGATTCTAGGGTTGAGGGATGTGCGAGGACGATGTGAGAGATTCTATGTTTTCAGGCTTAACAGAAGTAAAAAGACTGTAGTCCCCTTCAAAGAGATAGAATCTGGGGTATATGGGGATCTTATTCTAATCTTCCCAAAGCCATATTCTATCTACTTAAAGGGGACTATAGCTTTAAAATAGCCCAGGGGCTTGCTAATCAGCTGCTCCAAAAACTCGTACCTCACAGAGCGGGACCAAGGAGCAAAGGATCACGAATTCATTTGAGCTATAGTCCAAACTCCTAGTATCCCCCTTACTATGATAGTTCCCTATGCTCCCCTGTATTACCCCCTTTTAAGGAGCTGGGGTCGAGTCGATAGCTGTTCTAGGGCACCCTAGCGACATGTTGAAGAGTGGACAAGATTCCTCTAGGTTGAGCCGGACTGTATAGGGGCTTAGGGTTTAATCGCTGGGCAAGGTCCCTCTGAAGGTTTATCTAAAACTCACAGAACGAAGCGTGCGGCAAAGTTGCTCGGGCGCCAGGGCCTCCTTGAACTTTAGAATCCTATGCTGGATCAATAGCCGCTGGAAAACCAACATCTCCGTTTTGATTTTCTTTTCATACAGTAGGAACCCAGAAGCCAAACAAAAACATGCCAGTGAACAACCTGAGCAACCTACCCTAGACCCTAAACCCTAAACCCGGTAGCCTAAACCCTAAAACCTAAACCCGAAAGCCTAAACCCTAAAACCTAGAATCAGTGTTGAGTTGTAGCACAAGTCCGTGCGATGCCCAGGCCGGTGATTGTGTCGCAACAGGCGATTCCATTCAGGAGCAGTAACCCCGAGAAAATGCACAACCTTCATGCATGGTTTCAGATATGGGAATTTCCCCAATTTAGGGGTACCTTTTGGAGGGTCCTTCTCATAAGGATGATAGTACTTTGGGGTTGATATTTGGGTCCCTCTACTTTGTGGAAACTACGCTTTTGGGGCTATCCACAAACTTAGACACATGTGTATGCATGCATAGACGGCTCACAAATGCCCTATGCATGCGCAGCAACCAAAAACATGCAACATGTTAGCATACTTTTGGTCCACGTTCCAACAGGGGCCGCAATTTCAGCACACCCACACACACTCCCCTGTAAGGTCATCAAGTATACCAGCTTCTCAAAGCTCTGTGAGGTTTATGGAAGATCAGAGAGGTCTTGTGAGGAACTATGCAATTGGGGAAAAATATTTTTCCCCTAAACAATTGGGGAAAAATATTTTTCCCCAATTGTTTAGAATTATTTTGACGAACCCCTGCTTGGTAGAAGGCGTCCCCTGCTCGTAGGCGCAGGTCCTCCTCGCTGGGGAAGGGTCAAAAGCTTTCGTGTCACCCGTCATAGTGAACAAATGGTTACTATACTGTAACTGTAGGAGAAATGAGGAGAACCCATATTGGCAACCCAAAATTGCTTTGTAGTACTGTAGCTGTAGAGTGATGTATATACCTACACCATAGTGAAAGGGAGTACGTCACGGTAGGCTACATAAACTCCTCATGGCTGGCATGTTTGGCTTCGGAACCCTCGGCCCAAAGCTCTAAAGCCTCAACCCAGAATCCCCCTAAACCCTAGACTACAGGGGGGTTCCATTTTCATGTCCATTATCCTATGTTACATTACCCTACAAACCACACCCGACCCACAAGCTCCTGGTGAAGGACAGCCAGTCTCTGATCATAGAGCCTCTGCACATGCTCCAGGTGCCTTCGAACCTCGAAGCGCCTCAGAAACGCCGGCTCCAAGGCTCTGGAGATGCTTTCCTGGGTTGGATGGAAATCAACTGACACAAGCTATCATGCCATAATCGCCTGGTCTACATATATTAGAGGTTATATGGGCATACCGGAACCATGGGTAGTTTCCTTACAAGATAGTAGCTTCCGTTTTATTTCCCATTATCTCAATATAACTACACTATAGAAGTTTCCATTTTCTTTTCCATCATCCCAATATAACCCCATATACTCCCTATATAACCCCTATATAATCCCTATAGTTTCCATTTTCTTTTCCATTATCCCAATATAACCCCTATATACAAATTTATCTAAGAGTGACCCAGCTTCATAGCACGTACCATGCCGCAAGAGGGGACCCGCTTCGGGATGCGGCAAGGAAGGATTGCAAATGTGATACCACCAAAAAGCCTTCCGGGGTATAGGGCTTAGAGTTTAGTGCTTTCAAACTTTGGTTCCACCAAAAAACTTTCCGGGCTTAATTTAATTGAGGTTTACGAGTTTTAGGGCATTGCAAGAGCTGTGTCACCAGTCATCCTTGTCGATGCGGCTGAGGGGGTCGCAGACCACCAGCAAGACTTTCCTGGTATGAGCTAAGTCACCAGGTCATGGATACCCTGTACTTGCAAAATGTCAATGTTGAGGCCAGTCAGGGGTAACTTAACCACTGTATTTCCTTACTGGTTCTTAGTAGGTAGTATGGGAATATAATCCCTGTAACATCCCTGTATACTATGTTCTCCTATAGCCCCCCTTAAGTACAAAGAATATATGGTATATGGAGGTCTTATTATAATATACCCAAAAACATGTTCCATCTACTTAAGGGGGACTATAGTCCCTACTAACCCTTAAGCCTTAAAGCCAAAGCCCTAAGCCCTAAACCCTACCCCCACTTGGCTTCTCAATACCGACCCAGCTTCAGGCGCGGAATTCGTGCAAAGGCCATGCGAACACGTTGATGCGCCCACAAACTTGGGTGCCTGAGCCCTTTCCTGGGATGGTGGAGGATTGGAGGATTTGGGTTTAGGGTTTACGGCTCAGGGTTTAGCAAAATGTTGGGACATTTTTGAGCCATAATATGAAAAGTATGCCCCTTAAACAGCCGTATAATAGTCCCCTGTATAACGCCCCATGTAACCCCTGAAGAGAGTTTAGACTATAGCCCATACAGATGTATATATATATATATGTAATACATATATACACATCCATACACACATATCATATCATAGGGTATCAGAAATCAAGTTCCTCAACACCGCCCAGTTTCAGAGTGGATGCGTTCCTCCATTGCGAGTTGAAAGCTTGGACTTCTGAAACATAAGGGAGCAGCCGGTCATGCCCAAAGAAAAAGGGATCCTCGTCTCCCGCGTTGCTAAACTCGACGCCTCGGTGGCTTGAAGATCATAGTCCCCCTTAAGTGAATAGAATATGAGGTATATGGGGATCTTATCATAATATGCCCACAGCCATATTCTATCTACTTAAAGGGGACTATACCTTCTTCATCGTGGTCCCCATCGAGTACCCGTGACCAGGGATAATGGTGTATATGCTGGGGTCGAACTTGTCTTTCCCCAGGGGTTGGTAGGGTTGAGGGGTTAAGGTGGAAAGCCTGAAGGTCAAGCGCTGAGATTGGAGTCAGTTGGAAGTTTACTCCGAGCTCTTCATCATCAAAACCCCAGTGTTTGTAAAACACACTTTTGGCCCACTCATGGAGTCAAAGAAACGTTGGGGAAAAACACGCTTAGAAGTCCTACAAGGACATACAATAACTTCCATACACCAAAATAGTTGCAGGTCTTACTGAAATCAAGAAGGTTCAAAACATAAAACATGCTTCCTCATCTG